GGACCCGACCTCCCGTCCCTGATAAGAGTGGTTTTTCCCTGAAAAATACCCCCGACGGGCTGGGGACGGTATTTAAAATTGAATCTCTGAACAGTTCCGGATCGGGAACGGGGATAGCTTTGACAGTCCCGGACCCGGCCCGTTCCCGGCCCCATCCCCGACCCCGTGTTCTCCCCGAAATAAAATTACTGTTATACCCTCCATTCATTCATTCATATATATACATATAAAGTCCCTTTACTAATTCTAATGCCCCTGATCTGTCTTTCATTTTATCTCTCTCTCTCTTCTCACTCTCCCCTCTGATATGTCTCTCTCACTCTCCCGTCTGATCTGTCTCTCTCTCTCTCTCTCACTCTCTCTCTTCTCTTCGTCTCCTCCTTCTCCGATGGCGTAGTCGGCGACGGCGTCGTAGTCTCCTTCTCCGCAGTCGGCGATGGCTTCGTCGTCTCCTCCTCCGCAACCAGATCGCCTCTCGCCACCTCCTCCTCCGTCGCTTCCTCCTCCTCTTCCGTGGCCTCTCATCGCCTCCTCCTCCGTGGCCTCTCACTGCCTCCTCCTCCCTCCACCACAGCAGATCTAAGCAGATCCGGCCACTGCCACCGCCACCGCCACCGCCGAGCCGATATCCTTTTTCTCAGATCTCAGATCTCAGATCTCATGTATGTGTGTATATGTGTGTGTGTGCGTCTCTCCGACTCTGTTTCTTCTTCTTCTTTTTTTTTTGTGATGATGTTGTTAATGAAAATGATGTTGTTATTGTTGATAATGTTGTTGTTGATGAAAATCATGTCGTTGTTGATGATTTATTATTGAGAGAGAGCTAAAAACAGAGAAAGAGAGAGAGAGAGTTACGGGGATTTTCCGGGGTCGAGGAAACCCGATCCCCGTTAGGAGGCGGGGGTGAGGGGAGTGATGGGTTCCCCGCCGGGGATCCGGGACGGGGACGGGGAGTTTTGCAGCTTCGGGGATCGGGGACGGGGAGGGTGATCCCCGGCCCCGCCCCTCCCCGTTGCCATTCCTAATTCAAATTCACCAAATTCAACTCAATTCATGTTCTTGATTACAATTTGTCTTTGAGTTCACATAATAACAACTCAAACTCAGGAATTCATATCTAATTACTCACCTAGAGGCTCCAATCTTCTAATTTCTATTTAGTTCTTGAGCCTAGCCTTCTAATTCTTGAATTCCCTTGCAAAAATCTACAAGGATGGCCTCTCTCTCTCTCTCTCTCTAAACCGGCACACTCTCTCTCTCTCTCTTTCTCTAGAGGGTAAAATCTGATTTAAGCTCAAAACAATATGAGCTTAAACATACTTAGCTTATTTATATAGGCATTCTCTAATAACACTTAATTAGAGCTAATTAATGGTGCCTAATTGATTCAATTGACTCTAGAAATTATGCTAATCACTATGGTGTAGTCAATTTCAGTTTCTGTGGTCGATAAGGCCTTCAACTTTCAGTTTATAACAATAAGTTGAACAGATCTTCCTACGGTGAACAGATATAAGGCCAAAATCACTTATAGTCATATAATTTCCACTCAAAATCATATCAGGCATATAATCACAACCATAATTTAAGATCAATTAACATAACACAGGACAGTGTTATCACAATCTTCCCCCCTTTAGGAAGTTTGGTCCTCCAAACTTATTTTACCTCCGTCCGGAAACAAATGTGGGTAGCGTAGTCGCATTTTATCTTCTTTTTCCCATGTGGCGTTTGTCCCATAGTGTTCTTTCATTCTACTTTCACCATCGGGATGGACTTACTTCTCAGCTGTTTCACTTGTCGGTCAATGATTCGTTCTGGCAATTCTGCGTATTCCATATTTTCATCAAGAGCTATCCGGTGATAATCAATCATATGAAACGGATCTCGAAGATAACCCCTCAACATTGATACGTGGAATACATTGTGTATTTGCTCGAATCCCGGTGGCAAGGCGACTTGATAAGCAACTGGGCCAAGCCTTTCTAGAATTTGAAACGGCCCAATGTAACGGGGTGACAATTTACCCCTCTTTTCGAACCTTACCTGGCCCTTCATTGGAATCACCCGAATAAATACATGATCACCAACCTCGTACTCAAGAGGTCTTCTTCGAACATCTGCATAATTCTTTTATCAACTTTGAGCTGTCTTGAGCCTTTGTTGAATAATTTTGATTTTCTCAGAAGTGTCTTGCACAATTTCAGGCCAAAGTAAGGCTCTATCTCCGACTTCTGTCCACTAAATTGGCGATCTACACCTTCTACCGTACAAAGCTCTGTATGGTGCCATACAAATGTTGGAGTGGAAGCTGTTATTGTATGCAAATCCTGCTAGTGGCAACTAATTCTCCCAACTCCCTTGGAAATCTAAAGCACACATTCGTAGCATGTTTTCCAGGGTTTGTATGGTCCGTTCTGATTGCCCGTCTGTTTGTGGATGGAACATGGTGCTGAATCTCAATTCTGTTCCCATAGCTCTTTGTAAACTTTTCTACAATCTAGACACAAATTTTAAATCTCTATCCAAGACAATAGACACCGGAACTCTGTGTAAACGAACAATCTCATCAACATATATAGTAGCTAGTCTATAAGCATCAAATGTAGTTTTAACAGGCAGGAAATGCGCAGACTTAGTCAGTCTATCAACTACAACCCAAATAGAATTCATTCATCGAGGAGTTCGAGGTAGACCAACAACAAAGTCCATAATAGGGAGAGGTTAAAGTAGACCACCCGGTTTCTGATGTTCAACTTTAACTTGCTGACATTGAAGGCACTTGGACACATACTCTGCAATTTCTTTCTTCATTTTGGGCCACCAATAGCTTTGCTTCAAGTCCTAATACATTTTGTTATTACCCGGATGCATAGCATATGCTGACTTATGAGTTTCATCTACGATTCTCTTCTTTCGTTCCGAAACATTTGGGACACACATTCGGTTTTGAAATCTCAACACTTCACCTTCAATGCTGAACTTTGCTTTTGGGCTCGCCTCAAATTCATCAATCACTTTCTTGAGGAACTCGTCATCTTTTTGTCTTTGCTTAATTTCAGTAATTATTGCTAGTTCAGCTACAATGGCAGCGATCAACCCAGTTTGTTCATGTAATACAACTTCAATCTCGGTTCTCTCAAAATCTAGCAAAATTTCTTTCTGTTCAGTAAGTAAACATGCTAAATTCCCCGTCGATTTTTTGCTCAAGACATCAGCAACTGTATTGGCTTTCCCGGGGTGCTACTGAATCTAAAGATCATAATCTTTTATCAATTCAAGTCATCTTCTGTGTCATATATTTAACTCTTTCTGTGTAAAGAAGTACTTTAGACTTTTGTGATCCGTGTAGACTTCACATTTTGCCCCATACAAATAATGCCGCTAGATTTTTAAAGCAAATACAACTGTGGCCAATTCTAAGTCATGCGTTGGGTAGTTCTTCTCATGTGGCCTCAATTGTTAGGAGGCATAAGCAATTACTCGCCCATTTTGCATTAACACACAACCCAGACCCTTATAAGATGCATCATTAAAAATTACAAGGTTTTCCGTACCTGTGAGCAATGTCAACACTGGTGCAGTGGTTAGTCTCGCTTTCAGTTCATAAAAGGCAGATTCTCTTTCGTTATTCCATTCAAACGGTTCCTCTTTGCGTGTCAGTTGGGTGAGAGGCATAACTATTTTTGAAAAGTCTTTCACAAACCTTCTGTAGTACCCAACTAAGCCCATGAAACTGCGGACTTCTGTTACATTCGTCGGTGTAGGTCAATTCATAATTGCATTTATCTTCTGTGGGTCCATTGAAATCCCCTCCTTGTTGATAACATCCCCTAAGAAAATAACTTCATCCAATCAAAATTCACATTTCTTTAGTTTGGCAAATAATTTCTTTTCTCTAAGTGTTTGCAAGACGTTTCTCAAGTGGTATTCATGTTCAAGTCTATTCTTTGAATATATCAAGATATCATCAATAAAAACCACAACAAAATCATCAAGGTAAGTCTTAAAACTTCGGTTCATTAGGTCCATAAATGCTGCAAGAGCATTAGTCGCCCCAAATGGCAAAATAAGAAATTCATAATGACCACTCCTCGTTCTGAATGCGGTTTTCTCAACATCTTCTGCCTTTACCTTTAACTGGTAATACCCAGATCTCAAATCAATTTTGGAAAACACTTGTGATCCCTGTAACTGGTCAAACAAGTCATCAATACGAGGTAAGCGATATTTATTCTTTATTGTCACCTTGTTCAATTCTCGATAGTCAATACACAAGCATAAGGTTCCGTATTTCTTTTTCACAAATAACACCGGTGCACCCCATGGTGAAGTACTAGGTCGAATAAACCCTTTGTTGAATAAGTCTTGCAATTGTTCTTTCAATTCTTTCATTTCAATAGTAGCCATTCTGTAGGGAGTTTTAGAAATAGGCTGAGTGCCTGGCACAACTTTAATAGTAAACTCTATCTCCCTGTCCACTAATTCCCCTGACAATTCATTTGGAAACACATCTGAAAATTTGCTAACAATAGGGATACTACTCAATTCAACATTCATAATTTGTTTAGATAGCACACAACACAAGTAACCCTGGCAACCTTTCCTGATCAATTTACATGCTTTCATTGCCGATATCAAGCAAGGTGGATGCACTATCCCATTACCCATAAACACAATTTCTTCCTGTTCCGATGGTTTAAATATAACCTATTTCGTTACACAATCAATGGTGGCACAATATTTAGTTAACCAATCCATCTCCAAAGTTACATCAAAATGTCTAGTCCAAGGGTAATAAATCTACATACAGAATATCATTCCCAATACGCATATCACAAAATTGATAGATAGATGTACATAACACAGATTCCCTGGATGGGACAGATACACAACAAATATAGGAATGATTCTAAAGGTCTACTTAGTCTAGATGTAAATGCACAAGTTACGAAAGAAAAAGAGTGTGTTGATCCGAAGTCAATTAACACAAAAGCATCCTAATTGCATATAGAGATAATACATGAGACAATGGCTTCGGCGTTCCGTGTATCACCTGAAACAAGCGCAAAAACTCTCCTTTGCCTCACGATATCTCCGGTGGTAGTAGGCCTCGTAGTATTTCCCGGTTTTGGGATCGATGCAGTTGAGCTAGCAGCGAACTTTCCGCTATTCTGATTACAATCTCTGGCCATGTGTCCTGTCTTGCCACACTTAAAGTAGGCCCCTGATATATGGTAACAAACCCCATGGTGCCTTTTACCACATTGGTTGCATATTGGGGACGTATCTTGGGAAGAATTTAAAGTACTTGAGGAGCTCGTATTCTGCTTCTGTGAAAATTTCTTCTTCGAAAAGAAACCCTGCCTTTTGCTACCTTTCCAGTTAGTTGTTGATTTGGCTTGTCTGGCTATGTTAGCTTCTGATATTATGGCTCGGTCTAGCACCTCAAAGTAGGTTTCCAGCTTGAGAACATTCACCTTCTCTAAGATATCATCTCGAAGCCCGCCTTCAAAATGCCTCACTTTTTTGTAGTCAGCATCGACCACATGTGGTGCAAATCTGGCCAACTCAGTGAACTTGGCCTCATACTCAGCTACTATCATGCAGTTTTGTTTAAGTTCCATGAACTCTGACACCTTTCTGTCACGGACACATTGTGGAAAATATTTGATGTAGAAAATCTCCAAAAATCGTACCCAACCAATATCCTTATTGCTTTCACGCATTAACATCCACCATCTTCTTGCCTTATCTTCAAGAGTAAAAATGGCTAGGAGTACCTTCTATGTTTCTAGATAAAGAAACACTTCAAACAGTTTCTCTATGCCGAGGACCCATGCTTCAGCCTTTAACGGATCCAATCCCTTATGAAAATGTGGCGGTTTCATTTTCTTAAACTCTTTGGTGAGAGCTATTATTCGATCATCATTCTGAAGGTCTTGGGCAGGTGGTACTGGAGGAGGAGGTGGAGGATGTGGTTGTTGCCACTGTTGTTGTTGCCTCAATGTTTCTGCTATCTCCTGAAGCAATCTTTCCATCATATCCATTCTGGTTGTAGAAGACTCCTCTATTTCATCACCTCTTGTTCTCACCATCTGATTAGACTTGCATTATTCTTTATACAAAAAGGTTCACAAGTGTGTATATACCAAAGAGCATACATATTCAAATAATTCGCAATGCAAGTAAATCACAAACATATAGCACATAATCATTCATCTTAAAGCATTTAAGCATGTTCTCAATGCTTTTAGATTCATACTTGTCACATGAACGCATTCTAGATCTTTTCTAGATGCTTATTGCTCATTGCTCATTTGGACAAATGTGTGAGTTATTAACTCGTGCTCTGATACTACTCTGTCATGACTCGAACCCGCCCTTATGGATTAAGGTCATAACCGGCCAGTAATCAAGGGATTACCTATGGTCTCAAACCTGATTAAACATATTTCAACAGAGTTAAGGGGGCAAAATGGAAGCAAACTTAAAAATTTTGTCCAGAGAGCTGTCCTTACATGGTACGTCAAAACATTTTACATGTACTCATTAATAACCCACATCAAAAGGGAAATAACATAGAATTTTTACACAACAGGATCATTCAAGTCATAGTCAGCCAAACCAAAAGCTTATGTATATGGTGATCTAACATTTTCACCAAAGTAACAAAAAGGAAGATAAAAGAAACAAAACAAGTTTCGTGCGTGAGACGTTTGCTCTGACTCTTCAAAACATTGACTTTTTCTCACATACTTCATCGAGGCTGGGTTTGGACATCTCTTGGCTCACCTACACACACATGAATGAGAGTGAGTGAAAGCCTAGTGAATAATATCAAATAAAGAAGGTACATGAATGAAATTCGAAACAGATATATCAAACAGTCTTAGGCCCATTCATGTTTCTATTTGGTACATTAAATGTCTTCAAGCCCGAACATATCAAACGGCCTCTGGCCCACTTCGTCCTTAACAAATGGCCTCGGGCCCAATTCATTCATGTCAAACGGCCTTTGGCCCAATCATTTATGTCGAACGGCCTTTGGCCTATTCAGTCATGTCAAACGGCCTCTAGCCCAATCGTTTTGTGTCAATCGGCCTTTGGCCCAATCATTCCTATCAAACGGCCTTTGGCCCAATCTTTCATATCAAACGACTTTTGGCCTAATCATTCATGTCAAACGGCCTTTGGCCCAATCATTCATATCAAACGGTCTTTGGCCCAATCATATAGCGTAACGAATATTTGTCCACAATTCCAATTAACAAACTTAGGAAACTCAAATAGGAGTAAGCAGTTAGGCAAATAACATACTTCAAAATATCTTTACTAAGATATTACTCATAGTGTTCAGCCGGTGGATTTGCTCTTGTGCTCAACCCTACACATTGGGTCACAAACGGTTCAATCCGTTCTTAATTTATTTCTTTCTCTTAGGCCTCTTTCTTATCCTTTTAGATCATATACAAAGCTCAATGCATGCCTAAGAGTGCTTAGAAATGGAAGAGAACAGAAAACAAAACTCAAAATAACTTTTAAAATTTCTAAAGCAGGGCCCTCTGCTCTAGCGTGGATCTTCCCGCTCGAGCGGACCCCCATTTGGTCTGCAAAAGTACTGGTTGCCTCATTTTAGAGCTCGAGTGTGACTTCGGACGCTCGAGCAGAGAGTCAAAACATGTGACTGGGTGCTTGAGCGTGACTCTTCCTGCTCGAGCGGACATCAATGTCTGTAAAACTTCTGGGAGCTAACATTTCATGCTCGAGCGGCGAATGCCCCGCTCGAGTGGACTCGACGAATTCTGGAATTCCTAGGAAGTTACTTGAGCTTCAAACTTGCATTCAAATTGATGTAACTTGCTTGTTATGACCCATAACTCACATGTACATCTACTAACATGATAAAAATACTAAATTTACAACATTATGAAGCTCAATTCCCATGAATCAATTACATTCATACCCAATTGTACCAAACTTATGCCTAATACATCAAATTCATGCACCCAAAACTCATGCCTCTATGAATTGTGCATGCATGTGGAATATAACTCCCATTCTCAACTTAAATGATGTAAACGATGATCAAAGGCATGGACCACATGTTTCATGCTCAAATACACAAATTCATGGCAATCTTTTACATGCATGTTTATAATGACTTCAAATTCACCAAATTCAACTCAATTCATGTTCTTGACTACAATTTGTCTTTGAGTTCACATAATTACAACTCAAACTCATGAATTCATATCTAATTACTCACCTAAAGGCTCCAGTCTTCCAATTTCTATTTAGTTCTTGAGCCTAGCCTTTCAATTCTTGAATTCCCTTGCAAAAATCTTCAAGTATGGCCTCTCTCTCACTCTCTCTAGAGGGTAAAATCTAATTTGAGCTCAAAACAATATGAGCTTAAGCATACTTAGCTCATTTATATAGGCATTCTTTAATCACACTTAATTAGAGCTAATTAATGGTGCCTAATTGATTCAATTTAAACTAATTGATCCGCTCCAAATCAGTTTTCAATTAAATTTCACTGTAGGCTCTAAAAATTACGCTAATCACTATGGTGTAGTCAATTTCAGTTTCTGTGGCCGATAAGGCCTTCAACTTTCAGTTTATACCAGTAAGTTGAACAGATCTTCCTACGATGAACAGATATAAGGCCAAAATCACATATAGTCATATAATTACCACTCAAAATCATATCAGGCATATAATCACAACCATAATTTAAGATCAATTAACATAACACAAGACAGGGTTATCACACTAATCATCTTCTCTGTCTTAGCAACATCAACATATATATCTTGCTCTTGAGGATAAACGATGGAACCCTATCTTTATCTTTTTTGATGATTGGATATTTTGGTTAATTTATACTTACCTCAACTAATTTCGGAACCCACACAAAGTGTCCCTTTATGTGAATCGGGTAAATTTCAGGCAGAACCCACAGACGTAACCCTAAAGAGCGAATTGTTCCTAATAAAAGTTGAACCTGAGACTTAAAGAAAACATTTATCTATCGATACATGTTTAGAATAAATTTACTTACCCCTAAATTTTTAGCCTACTGATGAATTATTGAAATAATATATTAATCAAAACTCATAAACATAGATTAAAACAACAATCCAAAAAAGCTAGTGCTGTGACAGTAAGAGAAAAAGAAGTTGGTTTTGATTTTGTGAATTGAACCTTTGGTCAATTTCTAGAGTTGCAGAATTATGTGGGAATCTGGTGAATTTGGAATTGTAAAAAGCTATTTAATGAATTGTTGGTTGGGTGGGGGGTGTTATTATCACTTTTATAATTCATCAGTCATATGAATAGAAAAATGATGTTATTATCACTTTTATACTTAAATGTATGCTTTTTCTTATTTATTATTGTATCTTTCACATTCAAATAGATCGATATAATTATGTCAAAATTGTGCAACTTGTCATATTCTCTAAATACTAATTTTTTGATACAAAAATATAACAAATTTGTGAAAAGGCTCCAAAATACTACCAAACACACAAAACACATGCCCTGCTTACTCACATACCAATGGACCTTACGAACAGATTAAAAATTTGAACACTAATCCTCTTCTCTGTCTTAGCAACATCAACATACATATCTTGCTCTTGACAACAAAGGATGGAACCCTATCTTTATCTTTTTTGATGATAGGGTATTTTGGCTAATTTATACTTACCTCAACTAATTTCAGGACCCGCACAAAGTGTCTCTTTGTGTGAATCGGGCAAATTTCAAGCAGAACCCACAGACGTAACCCCAAAGAGCGGATTATTCCTAATAAAAGTTGAACCTGAGACCTAAAGGAAACATTTATCTATTGATACATGTTTAGAATAAATTTACTTACCCATGAATTCTTAGCCTACTAATGAATTATTGAAATGATATATTAACCAAAACTCATAAACATAGATTAAAACAACAATCCAAAAAAGCTAGTTCTCAAGATCAACAGGTAAAAATGGCTAATCCAGTCTAAATTGTCTATTTAGTCTTGTTTTTTTTATTAGTTTCCATGTTGATTCTAGTTTTGAAAGTGTTAGAACTAGTTTGGTTCCTTAAGATTTAAAGTTTTGGTTATGGTCATGAACCGAACTGTCATATATATATATATATATATATTTTTTAAATTTTTTAATATTAAAAACAAGAGGATGGGAAGCAATTAATTTTTATGGTTCAATTCTGATCCAATTATATAGATAGACTTAAAAGATAGTCAGCATTGAAACATGTCGAAGTGGGAGAGAGAGAATTGGAAGCTTTTGGTAAGTTTCAGGGTAGGATCAATTTTTGTGGATTATTATGTACATTAATTAATAAAAAAATTTACTCAAATCACTAAGGACCGAAGTGACCATACCCTGAACAACTGTTTTTCGTTTCTAGGAAATAGTAGAAGAGAATATTATGAAAGGATCAAGAGAATATTCAGTAATGCTTCAAATTCAAAAGAAAACAAATTCAAAAAAATACTTAAAATTTGAATCTGATAACCTAGATTCATTAATGATTTGCCCCCATAACTAAATTTTAAATACAAATAATTGATACTTTTCATGATAAGTTTCTCCGACCATTTGTGATTTTGGAAAATATTACCATTAATTAACTTTTTGTGCTGCAAGTTTAGTTCCTTGGTAATTGATCAAGAGAATATTAGGATGGATTAATCTAATGACAACTA